AGGGGCAGGGGGGGCGGGCGCGCGCTGCGCCCCGGGAGGGGAGGCGCGGGGGCGCGCGCCGAGGGGGCCAGGCCTGGCACGGTGCCCGCACCCCCACCCCGCCGCTAACTCTGACTTGGGGCTGGTGGGGGCGCAGCGAGCAGGACGCGGAGAACGGCACGGCCTGGTCCACGCCCGCCGAGGGCCAGCTCTGCCTGCTGTGGTCGGACGCGCCTGCCCTGCGGGCCTGGTGAGCACCCCACTGAGGACGCCTCTCCACACCCTCCCTCCCGTCTCGGGCCGGGTCAGCACTGGTGACCAGGGCAGATCCAGCCCGAATAACCTGTCTCCGCAGGATGCCCCCGAGGGCCCCCCTGGGTCGTGCCTGGACTCCCTGGCTGCCTCCCGGACCCAGGGCTGGGGTCACGGTTTCGGAGCCCGCCAGCGCCTCTGCGGAAGGAACCCGGGGTCGGAGGAGGCTCTGAGGAGAGGGGCCTCCAGCGGAGCCCGCAGGGAGGGGGAGGGCAAGAGGTTGTATTTGGCGTCAATAAAGGAGGAATTCAGACCCTGGCGTCTCGAGATCTGGGCCGCCCATGTGGTGGCAGCCCGCCCGCGGGGTCAGGGGAGGGCCCCTGCGTCCAGCTCTAGACCTGCCACCACGCCCAGCTGCCCTTTACACCTGGGAGGCCAGCTGGGCGCCTCCCCGCTGTCGCCGGCCTGGGGCCACCTCCTGTCCAGGACTGAACTTCCCAGGGCCCGCACCCACCCGTCTTCCTCCTAGAAGGTGGGGGTTCAGGACACCCTTGACCCTGGCCGGGGGTAGGCAGGGTCTATGGAGAGAAGAGAGTACCGGGCCGGGGCAGGAGGCCGGTCGGGAGGAGGCGGGTCGGGAGGAGGCCAAGGCTGGCCCTGTCCTGGTGCTGCAGGCAGCTGGCCCTAGTGGCTGGCCGAGCAGCTGAGTGGAACCCAGCGCATGTGTGTGGTGCGCCCCCAGCCCCTCCCCGGGGCCCTTTCTCACTTCCCCTCTCCGTCCTCGTCCCTGTCCCTGTCCCTGTCTCTCTCCACAAACACACAGTAAACGGAGGGAAAAAGAAGAGGTGGCAGGTGGGTGCCAGCCGAGGTGCGAGAGTCCTCCAGAGCCAGGGCACGAGTGTATGCCTGGACTGGCACGTGTGGGCTGAAGGTCTGGGACAGGTGGCATGACGGCTCAGCCTGTGAGCAGCCCCTAGTGGGTGGGGTTCTCAGGGGACCAGGTGATACGGCCAGGACGCCAGTGCAGGAAGCCAGCGCGCAGAGCTTGGTCCCCAGCGAAGGAGAACCACACAGCCGACTGGCCAGTCCAAGTCCTGGGCCTGGCGCCCGGAAGGCACACCAGGTGCCCCCAGTCCCGACGGGGTGAGGGAGGGAGAAGGGGCTGCAGTGTACCTGCACCCCATCAGAAGGTGCTTGCTCCTCTCCATCTCTCTCTCTCTGGTGGGTGCCCATGCCCTCTGGCAAGCTTTTTAAAAAGGAAAAACCAGGGGGCCCGGCAGGTGGCATGATGGTTGGGGACGCTGGATTCCCACATGGCCAACCATGGTTCGAGTCCGGGACCTGGCAGCTGGCTCTCTCACTTCCTCTTTCTCTCTGTCTGGTCAGATTAAATAATAATAATAACAAATGGAATGAAATAAATAATTTTTTTCTAAAAAGGAAAAACCAGAAGGTCAGCAGATGGCATATTGGCTATGTCACGGGACTCCCATATGGCCAACCATGGTTTGAGTCCCAGATCTGGTGGCTTGAAAATCATGCCAGGCGCGTGTGTGTGCATGCCCAAGATCCTGGGAGGAGAATGGAGAGGGGATTGCGGCATGGCCAACTCCCCTGGGGGTGATTTCTCACTTTCCCTCTCACCATCTCTGTTTCTCTCTGGCACACACCCTAAGGCAAAAATCTCTTTTAAAAAAATTAGTAAATAAAAAGGAAAACCCAGAAGCTCAGGCAGCCCCACCCCGCTGCCCCCTCTCCTGGCCTCACCCCTCCGCCTCTCCAGTTAGCAGGGGCTGGGGGTGTGTGTGCAAAGAAAGATGGGGACAGAGCAGCTGGGGGCCGGGCCAGAGAGCCTCACCAGGACCCAGCCTCTGGGCACAGCCACCCAGGACCTCCCAGCTGCCCCGCGAAGAAGCCCCTCATCTCTATCACCACGGCCTGCCCAGCTCCACCTGGAGAGCCAGCTCGACTGGAAGGAATGTCCCTGGGAGGGGCAGGGATGTCCCAGGACACCAAGATGCAGGGAGGGGGTGGGGTGGGGTCTCCGTGCTCAAAGGCTGGCCTTAGGAGAGGCGGCCTTCCCTGACGGAGGTTCTGGGGAGAAGCCATACAGAGGGGCAGGCCGGGGTAGCCCCTGCGCAGGCCCTAGGCCCCACCGCTGCCCCTGCCCCCAGCCACCTCCCTTCCACCCACCCTGTTACCTCTCCTGCCCGGCTCTGCCTCTCGCCCAAGCCCCCCAAGCCCGAGGCACCCGAAGCAGCTCTCCGTCTCCTGCTTGTGTTGTGATGTCTGGGGGCTCACCCTGCCTGGCTCCTCCTCCGAGGGAGGCCCTGCCGGCCAGCGGGAGCCCCCTTCGTGGGGCTGGTTGTAAAAGTCCATAAAACGGGGCGGCGCCTGGCAGGGGCGAAGGTTGCTGGGCAGGAAGTGGCCCGGTCTTGGACGCCAGACTGTAAGACCGGCCAGGACCCTCTGCCAGGTGCCAGTCAGGATGGGGACTCCGGCCCAGCGGTGGCCCCCCCTGCTGCTGCTGCTGCTCGTGGGGCTTCTCGGCCAGCCTCCGGGGGCTGCGACCCAGACTGAGAGTAGGTGCAGGCGGGCCAGGCGGGCTGGGGAGAGGCCGGGCGGGCACCCACCTCCTCCCCGACCTTGCAGTCTGCTCTGTGAGCAAGACCGTCTTGGAAGTCCAGGAGAACACGACCATCACAGAGCCCCTGGTTAACATCTCCGTCCCGCTGGGCCAGCAAGTGACCCTGGGAGTCTCGTCCACCAGCTTGGCCTTTCGGATCGTGGGGAATCAACTGTTTCTCAACGTGACTCCCGACTACGAGGTACAGCGGGTACCCACACCCCTTCCCGGGGGAAGGGCTTTCAGGGGACCTTCCAGTCACAGTCTTGGGGAGTCCGAAGGGCCCTGCGGCCACCCACACTGCCAGGCAATGGCTGACCCAACTTGGCGGGCCGGGGAGGATTTGGGGACGAAGCTGCCAGGGGCGCCCGTGGGACTTAGCATCCGTGACGGGCCTGGGTGAGCCCCTGCCCCCTGGCTAGTCGTCACCTGAGGACCGGGGAGTGTGTGTGGTCGCAGGCTGGCCATTGCCAACACCCTCGCCCGTGTGCCTCCACAGAAGGAGAAGGTGCTGCAGGCTCACCTGGAGTGCAAGAGGGGCGACATCGTGGTGAGTCACAGCCCGGCCCTCCCCGCCGGCCTCCCCGTCCGCCTTGCCCTGCTGGCCCTCGGCAGACATCTAGGGCTGGGGCCGTGCCTCCGTTCTGCCCAGTCAGGGCCACTCCTTGGTGACCTCATCCAGGTGTCTCTGAATGTCACCCCTCTGCTGCCAATGCCTACACTTCCTCTAGCCCAGACTCTGACCTGAGCTCCAGACTCGCCATCTCCGAAATCGACCACCAGCGTCTCCTTTCCAGAACCTTCCCCTCTGGCCCCGCGCCCACCCCTGTCCAGTCTCCTGAACAAAGATGAGCCCTGCCCTGCCCAGCACATCCAGGGCCCCTTTCCCACCCGTAGTCAAAGCTGTTTGTCACTGCAGTGTGCAGGGCTGGGACGCTGGGCCTTGGCAGACAGACCCCTCTCAACTGCCCAGGTACACACTCTTCAGAGGGATCCCAACCCCTCGCCCCAGCGTGGTAGTCCCCACCCTGGCTTCATCTGCTCAGCCTTGGGTTAAGGAAAATGGCGAACATGCAGTGGCAGGGGGGTGGAACACAGGACCCACCCCGCCAAGGCTCTCCCTTTATCACAAGGTATTCTCGCAGCGTGTCTCGAGGGATTGAGGACCTTTCTTTACTTATTTGTTTTATTTTTATTTTTAATTTTGTAAGACAGAGAGACAGAAAGAGAGAAATCACCCCCCAGGGGGGATGGCCACACCACAATCCCTTCTCCTCCACTCTCCTCCTGGGATCTTGGGCACACACACACGTGCCCTGTGTGAGTTTGAAGCCACTGGGTCCAGGACTCGAACTGTGGTCAGCCATGTGCAAGTCTAGTGACCTAACAGCCACAGCCATCTGCTCACTCCAGGACCTTTCTTTTTCAATATAACCACTGTACCGCTGTCAGGTCCGAGAAAAGCAGACGAGTCCTTTCCACCCTCCAGCATCCAGGGCTGTCCGCATTCCCCGCGGCCCGCACAGGGCCTGCCGATACACTGATCAGCATGTACGCAAAGTCCACAGGATGCCATGGGTTTACAGTCGTTTAAGTTCCTCTTTTTTGAGAGGGAGAGAGCGAGCGAGCACCCTTCCCAGGGTGTGGTCAAGCCACACTCCCCTTCCTTCAGGCTCCAGCTTCTCGAGGTCCTGGATACCAGGACCTGGGGTCGAACCCACGGCTGGCCGTTGGGCTCTGAGCCTTGAAGGGCGCTGTGCTGGCCTTGAGCTGCAGCAGCCCCTGGGCTTCCCAGTGTCATTGACCTATTTATTGCTAGAGGAGAGACGGAGAGAGGGAAAGCGAGGAATCACCCCGGGGGACGGCCGCGCTGCAGTCCCTTCCATTCTCCTGTCGGGATTCTGGGCGCACGCACATGTGCTTGGTGTGATTCAAGTCACCAGGCCAGTTCTTGAACCATGCAGTTGGCCTTATGGGATCTATCTGCCTTAACCACCATGCCACTGCCCGGCCCCTTTTATTCCTGCGTTTTTTACTAAATGTTTCACCCTTTATTTGTGACGGGCTCATGCACATGCTCGTCAGAGTGAGAGAGAGGAGGACTCGCCACGGGGTCTGGTCCCAGGGTCCAGTCACAGCAGAGCCCTCCTCCAGCTCTCCAGCCCATTGGCAATGTGGTGCTCACACGTGTGCTGAGTGTGTTCCAGGCTGACCAGGGATTTGAACTGTGGGCCCCGTGAGGACTCGCTTCTCGAGTGGCGCATTACTGCGGCACCACCCAGATGGCCTGTGTTTCTTTGACCACCCTGCTTCCCATTTCTCTTTTGTCCTTGGGGATTGATTTTTTCTTTTCTTTTTTTTGAGAGTTTTTCTCGCTATAGGGCGCGTGCGCTCACCAGCCAGACAGAGACAGAGAGACAGAAAGTGAGAAATCACCCCCCAGGGGGGATGGCCACGCTGCAATCCCTTCTCCTCCATTCTCCTCTCGGGATCTTGGGCACGCACGCACATGCACCCGGCGTGAGTTTTAAGCCACCGGGTCCGGGACACGAACCGCGGTTGACTACGTGGGTCCAGCGACATAGCCATTACGCTAACTGCTGGTTCCCTTTTTTTTAAGATTTCTGCTCATAGGGTGCATGTACATGCCAGAGAGGAGAGAGGCCAACAGAGCCAGAGAGAAGGAAAGTGAGAAAGCACTCACGGGGAGATGGCCATGCCACAATCCCTTCTCCTCCATTCTCCTCAGATTTTGGGCATGCACGCACACATGCCCAATGTGATTTGCAAACTACCATGTCCAGGACTTGAACTACAGTCGGCCATGTGGGAGTCAGAGCTTTACTACGCCACCTGCCAGCCCCAGGGATTGATTTTTTTAAAAGTATTATTTATTTTATTTTATTTATTTATTATTATTTTTTTAGAGGTTTTCGCCATAAGATGTGTGTGCTCAACAATAGAGAGAGAGTGAAAGGGAGAGTGAGAAATCACCCCCGAGGGGGTATGGCCACACCACAATCCCTTCTCCTCCATTCTCTTCCTGGGGTCTCGGGCACATGCACATGCCTGGCGTGAGTTTGAAGCCACCAGGTCCAGGACTTGAACTGCAGCTGGCCTTGTGGGAGTCCAGCTCCTTATCCACAGTGCCGCCTGTTGGACCCTGGGGATTGATTTCTGAAGAAACCCAGTTTTGCGATTGTCCTCCTTTGAGATGCTGCCAGTTGCATCCTCTGTATTTTACAAATTTTCTCCGGGTCATCCATCACTTCCTTTTCTTTTTTTAAAGAGAGATTTTCGCTATAGGGGGTGGGCACTAACTGGAGAGACAGGGAGAGACAGAGAGACAGAAAGAAATCGCCTCCCAGAGGGGCCATGCTGCAATCCCTTCTCCATTCTCCTCATGGGATCTTGGACACACATATGCACGCCCCCGGGTGAGTTTGAAGCCACCAGGTCTGGGACTGGAACTGTGGTGGACTACGTGGGAGTCCGCTGCTGGTCCCTACGCTGATCCCTGTCTGTGTACCTTATAAGTTAGCTTTTTCTTCTTAGCCGTAAGTCCCTGGCCAGGTGGGGAGACAGCTTGGGAGGAGGCTGACGACTGCCCCCTGCAGGTCACTCAGCTGCGGGTGCTGGTGATAGTGCTGGACATCAACGACAATGCCCCGGCGTTCGGCTTCACCACCAAGGAGGCAGACGTGGAGGAGGTGGGACCACAGAGCCAGGCTGGTCCCAGCTGGCTGGGGGCCTGGGCACAGGGCGAGAGAACAGAGGCTTTGGGGGTGCTTGGCTAGGGGGGTCACAGGCATGGTCCAATCAACCCCCTCTCCATCCCAGGACACTAAAGTAAGCTCCATCGTCATCCCTGAGACAGAGCTGGAGGCCGAGGACCTTGACATAGACGACACCCTGTACTATACCCTCCAGGAAGTAACCCCAGTCAGTGACCCCCACCCCTGCCTCAACGCACCCCCACCCCGTCTTCCCAGGGTCTCAGGCTGTGCCCTTCCCCCTCCCAGGGTGCCGGTGACTTTTTCTCCCTGCTGGGTGCGAACCGCCCCTCCTTGAGGCTGGACCGCTCCCTGGACTTCTACAAGTGGCCAGACATGACTTTCCAGCTGCTGGTGCGGGTGAGCAGGCCGCTCGGCCCCGAGCCCCGGGCCCCGAGCCCCGCCTGACCGGCAGGGGGGGGAGGGGTGGGCTGCTGCAGGACACTCGGCCCCGAGCCCTGGGTCCTGAGCCCCGCCTGACCGGCAGGGGGGGGGCGCCGGAGGACCACC